GTTTTAAATTAGCGAGTAAGCTTTCTCTTATATTTTCGCTTATTTTCGCATTTCCCCGCGTTAGAGTATTTCGAGACGATTGTAGATCTTGTGAGGTTTATCTATATATTTTAACTAATAGTTTACTTGAAGTCGAAAAACCTTTCCTGTTACTCTCTTTTCACTCACGTCAGAATGTAAACGAGATAGCGAGAGTTTATTCAGATTAAGGTAGAATGACGTGCTATTTAAGCAAGGAGTTTCGGAAGTTACTTTCCGAGTGGGTCTGCCTATTCCAGGCCACGTTGTGCTGTGATTATTAGCGACTTGTGTTAGTGACGTTGAGTTTTCCAGCCAATAGGCTTCTCTCGCCGGTTTACCAGAGCTCTCTTCCTGCGAGTTAAGGTATTCATTGAGCCGTTAGGCTAATCTACCACACCTTGAAATTAGTATTTGTTACGTCATTCTAAACCAGAAGTCAATGGCTTCTTGTAATCCACTGTCACTGTTAATTTTATGTTTGAATAAAAGGGTGTTATACAACCTTCTACTGATTTCTGTTTTGCTTCACAAGGCTAGAAGATAATTCTTTAAGGATCCTTTTAAGAGTATGTTCCCAAAGGTACACAGACTTTTCAATCTTTAATTATAGCAATAATTTCATACTTTTTTAAACCATTTGAAAGTGAATCATACATTTCCAGAGTCGAATTTTTCATAAAGTCTTCATCACAAAAATGGTCTACACTTTTTTTTTGATAGAACATGGCTTACTTTGAATGACGCAATAGTCATTGCACGTGATTTCAACATGGGCTTTTTAAAATTCCTTTGTGGTTTGTTAGTTGAGCCTTAAGTTGAGTTAGTTCCTTAGTTGAGCCTTAAGATTATTATTTTATGGATAACCTATTTAATATTTGTTACATAAAGGTAAAAAAAATGCTTCTCCAAATTACCCTTTTTAGTAACGGCTACAGAACCATTATATAACAACATTTATCATTTATAAAAAGTCACTCAATTCCGATTGTTTCATAAAAATGATAAATCTTTTTTTTTTTTTTCCCTTAGGTTTATTATTCATTTTAACGGGTAATAAGATGCAAAAGAGGTATATAAAGAGACAATTTTAATTTCTAATTTAGAAAGAATGTACTTATATGTCTTCCAAAAAATCATAAAAGATTCCAACGTTAATACTCATGGAATTATCTTTAACAAGTCTGTTCAGATTTTTGCGTTTGCTTACGATATCGACATAGTCGCGCGCACTCCCGAATCACTTAGAGAGGCTTTTACAATTCTATAGGCTGCAGCCAGCAAAATGCATCTAGGAATCAAACAAAATAAAATTAAATACATGCCATGTGGTAATAACAGCAGCCCCTATTTTGAAATTGGAAATTACAAATTTGAAACAGTTAGCAAATTTAAATATTTAGGATCAGAAGTTAATACTCTCAATGATTTAATGCCCGAGATCCGTAGTAGAGTCACAGATGCTAACCGATGTTTTTTTCCGTCTCAAAAAATACTTGAAGTCTAACTTCACTAGCAGAAAAAAGAAGATTTTAATTTACAAAAGCTTAATCAGACCCATTCTTACATACTCTGCTGAGACCTGGGCAATCATAGAAAAAGCTAAAAGTATCATTTCTGTCCTTGAAAGAAAAATTTTGAGAAGTATTTTTGGTGGCATAAAATGTAACAATATCTGGAGAAGAAGAACTAACTCTGAACTCTATAAATCCTTTAAAGAAATAGATATAGTAAAATATTTAAGGATTCAGACAATTAAATGGGCAGGACACTGCAGAATGGATGAAAATCGAGTAACTAAAAAGATATTCTCGGCCAGACCATTCGGCACCCGAAAAAGTGGGAGACCTAAACTTAGGTGGCTCGACTGTTTGGAAACAGATTTCAGAATTTTAAAAATAACCAAGTGGATGTCCATGGCCAGGGATAGAAGAGCTTGGAATTCGATTCTGAGGAAGGCAAAGGCCCATCCTGGGCTGTCTGGCCATTGAAGAAGAAGTACTTTTACTTCTTACAACAGTAGTGTTAAGAAACGTTGGCACTTTTCCTAGAAACGTTAATTAGATATTACCACAATGGTGAATACTGAACAAAAAACACAGGAATCTCAATTATGTATTGTTAACCGAGGATTAAAAGAGCGTCAATGAGCCTACAAGCTGGCGTATTCGATAGCGAGCAGACGACAGGTAACGTAAGACGCCACTCTCCTACTCTTTCGATCGCTGTTGCAGAATATCAGTTGTCAGTGTCAACTAAGACAGTGGTCTCGTACTCAAACTGCATGTGGGCCGAATGCACAATCTGGAAATACCTGACGCGCCATAATTTATTTTCAGCAAAAATAAAATAAAGCAAAAAGCATTTATAGAGTCGTTAGGTTCTTTTGATACCGGAGACGTGAAAAATGTGCAATGACCTTGCCGAGAATCGAACTCCAGGCTCTCCCGAATACCCGTCGTGCGTCCTTCCAGTTACACCCCGAACGCATGAGAAGGGGAAGGGAGAAAATACCTTATATACTCTCCTTTTTAAAGGGAGACTGAGACTTTTAAGCGACTAGGATGAGAGGACTCAGTTACCAAATCCTGATGGTGACGAATTATCGTCCACAGCCTTTTAGTTCAGGCGCCACTATAAAGTTTCACATATTTTATACTACCAAAGAAGACAAAACTTTATACATTTTTTAACTAAATTTTGAATTTCGCTTGATAATTATACACCAAAACATACATAAACAACAATAATGTTGCATTCTAGGTGTCCGTTGGAGTAATTGATGACAACACTTGAAGAAGAATCAAAACTCAATTTATTCGCCAATTTATTACACAGGAGAGTTCCAAAAACACGTTTGCAGTCGTCGAAAAGCTACGATAAACACGCTGAAACAATCAGGAACACAGCTTTCAGACTACAACGGTGAAGATAGCTTCACAGCAAAGCACTGAAATACAGCTTCCGTCTCGGTCCGCTTTCGAGCTAATCTCTGAACTCAAGTCACTACTATCGAACTCAACACATTTAAGATACTTTGACGATACACCGCACTCCGCGTACAGGCATGGTATTTATAGCATTGACCTACCTTCGAGAACATTCTGAGGAAAACCGGTAGGAATTCGTTCTAGAATGTTCACGTTCTGTTTATGGTGCATCGCCAATTGTGTCTCCAAATGGGCAATTTCGCACCAAATCTGGCAACCGTGCCTTTCCTTGCCACTTTCTAGCAAACCTAAATCCTCTTTGCGGGGAAGTTATCTTATCGCAACTGGGCATTTCGTAACAACAACAAGAACAATAGTAATAATTCAAAAGGGAAAAAATCAAATCTGTACTTTTTTTTGATCTGAAATCTAAAGTTTGTTTCTTGCAAGAATTATAGTTCTTTGCACTTTGTAATTCAAATATACTGATAGCTAAAACTAATATTTTAGACTGGTATTTATTTAAAATAATTCTAACATATTTAAATGATCTTTGAATAATTTACTCTAATTAAAAAAAAAAAATAAATTATGAAAACCTTCCGTGCGGGAAAAACTTGAATATAAATAATGACAATTTGTCTTATTTATTAAACTTTTCTTCAACAGATAAATTAAAATACTTGTTTTGTGCGTAAATAATTAGAAATTTTGTATATAAATGCAAAATTTATTTACATTAGTGGCCATGCACTAGACAAAAATGTTACTAGAAATTATCTTCTTCAGTGTCTGGAGATGTTCAATTGTCAGGCATTTTACCCCCTTATTACTTTTCAATTATGATAAAAAAAGTTGTTCACAGATAAATGTATTCCTAAAAAAAGCGATTAATTGTAGTGCTTAGTTCTTACGCAAACAACGCCGATTAGAATGTAAACAAAGTAGTGACTTCATACCGTTGGATTCACTTTCATTGCACGGGACATACGGAGAAGGCTTACTCCATGTATTCTAATCTCCATGGTTTACTGTATTTACCATTTTTCGAAAATCTTGACAACAGTACCACGTTATCATGTGTACTGCTGTAAAATAATTTTAAAGGTAAAATATTTAAAAAAATATTCATAAAACAGTACATGTGCTAATGAATTATTTTTATAGCAATGCTGCTAATGAATTATTTTTATTGTATATATAAAAATATACTTGTAAATGAAGAAGTTTTAAAAATTCTTCAAAAACCAAAAGCAAAACAAACATTAAGATGTAATTTATTGCAAATGAAAAAACTACTTTTAGGAATGTTTTTTACTTGAAAAAAATTAGGTGAGTGTATTTTTAATGTTGAATGGTATTTTATTAAACGTTCGTCTTTAATAGCACACTAATAGAAATGCAATTGAATGAATGTCCTGTCTTGTACTTAAATAAATAAATAAATAAATAAATAAATAAAAATAAATATAATTACAGATATATGATTGTTACATTAAGTTCAATTCTGAAGTGACAAAATTACAAAATAAAAAATTTGCGTAGCGATAGTTTGGATAACATGAATGGTGACTATATCTTCAAAATTAAATTCTAAGTATGTAGCTATTCGATGGTTCGATGATTTTGATTTCCATCTCTAATTTTTAATAAAATATAAATTTTTCACTTTCAGAAATTCACTGAAGAGAATCGTCATGTAAAATCAGTAATTCTGTAGCTGTAGAATAAAGTAAATTTAACTGAATAGTTGTACAAAATTACTAAATTCTGGCATGTAAACCACGTTTTTTCTTCTGGGATTTAGAACTTTAGAGCGTTCCTTTTTAATGACGATTCATTAAGGAGAAGCTAGCTACATATGTAGGATTTCAAATATATAGGATCTTCATATAACATAGTGACACATTTAATATATTTAATTTTAAATATACACATTTTATATATTTTTTTATATAGATTACTGAAATTTTTAATTTTAGCATATTTTATTTATTAAAAAAATGAATATTTTTCAGTATTTATTCAGTACAGCAAATGAGCAAAACTTACTTCGCTATAGCAGTTCCAGAAGCAACAGTCTTTCTGCTATTATACGAAAATGTTCAGAGGGCGTCTTGTGAGTTGTTTATTTATTATGAGATACGCGCTTATCATCTTATCAAGTATTTAATCTTTCTTCGCTATAGCAAGTATTTAAACTTACTTCGCTATAGCAGTTCCAGAAGCAACAGTCTTTCTGCTATTATACGAAAATGTTCAGAGGGCGTCTTGTGAGTTGTTTATTTATTATGAGATACGCGCTTATCATCTTATCAAGTATTTAATCTTACTTCGCTATAGCAAGTATTTAAACTTACTTCGCTATAGCAGTTCCAGAAGCAACAGTCTTTCTGCTATTATACGAAAATGTTCAGAGGGCGTCTTGTGAGTTGTTTATTTATTATGAGATACGCGCTTATCATCTTATCAAGTATTTAATCTTTCTTCGCTATAGCAAGTATTTAAACTACTTACTTCGCTATAGCAGTTCCAGAAGCAACAGTCTTTCTGCTATTATACGAAAATGTTCAGAGGGCGTCTTTTGTGAGTTGTTTATTTATTATGAGATACGCGCTTATCATCTTATCAAGTATTTATCTTACTTCGCTATAGCAAGTATTTAAACTTACTTCGCTATAGCAGTTCCAGAAAGCAACAGTCTTTCTGCTATTATACGAAAATGTTCAGAGGGCGTCTTGTGAGTGTGTTTATTTATTATGAGATACGCGCTTATCATCTTATCAAGTATTTAATCTTACTTCGCTATAGCAAGTATTTAAACTTACTTCGCTATAGCAGTTCCAGAAGCAACAGTCTTTCTGCTATTATACGAAAATGTTCAGAGGGCGTCTTGTGAGTTGTTTATTATTATGAGATACGCGCTTATCATCTTATCAAGTATTTAATCTTACTTCGCTATAGCAAGTATTTAAACTTACTTCGCTATAGCAGTTCCAGAAGCAACAGTCTTTCTGCTATTATACGAAAATGTTCAGAGGGCGTCTTGTGAGTTGTTTATTTATTATGAGATACGCGCTTATCATCTTATCAAGTATTTAATCTTACTTCGCTATAGCAAGTATTTAAACTTACTTCGCTATAGCAGTTCCAGAAGCAACAGTCTTTCTGCTATTATACGAAAATGTTCAGAGGGCGTCTTGTGAGTTGTTTATTTATTATGAGATACGCGCTTATCATCTTATCAAGTATTTAATCTTACTTCGCTATAGCAAGTATTTAAACTTACTTCGCTATAGCAGTTCCAGAAGCAACAGTCTTTCTGCTATTATACGAAAATGTTCAGAGGGCGTCTTGTGAGTTGTTTATTTATTATGAGATACGCGCTTATCATCTTATCAAGTATTTAATTAGAGTGAATATCTGCTGCAAGTACCCTTGAAGTCGAAGGTCAATGTCTCACTGGTATTCATTAAAATAATCTCATTTGAGGAATAAAACTAAAATAGATTTTAAGATTGAAATATAAGCATAAAATTATCCAATGCAATGTACATAAATCTATAAAATAAATAAAATGTAAAAAATAAATAAATGCGTAAAACTGTTAAATTGAAATTGGTGGAGTATTTCAGGTGCTTTTATAAAATTAAATGATTTAGATCTCAGAGAAACGAATATCAAATGTACTCAAATGTCTGGGATCTGCGACAATAAATAAGTCCAATAATTAGGCCAGGTGATAACATAGAACACTGGCTCAAGCAAAGTTTACCACAATGAACCTCCAGAACAAAGAACTAAATTCAACTACAAAAAAGAATGTGTTACTAGAAGAAAGAAATTTGTTGCTATAATGTTTGCTTCTAGATTACGCCAATGATTAGAAGCAACTGCTTCCTTGGTGGTTTCTTTCTCCCACTTTCTATACGCAAGTGACGACCTTGAGTATTGACCATAGTTCAAGTTTCTGTAAACGGGCTAAGTGCTTAGGAGTTTTCATGGTCTTCTGCGTATGTAACGTTTAAATACGAGCTTGTTTTTCTTAAAGTTCTCCACGAAAGCATCCGTCTCCTTTGAGAGAGGGTCCTTATACGCTTTGCCGTAATCAAAAAACTCAACTCAATTTTGGACAATAAATATTAAATGGTGCAGATTTTGTATTTTTGAAGACGACGAGAAATCCTTAACAATATCTGTATGAGAACATGCTGAAAAATCCTTAACAATATCTCTTCTTTAGATGTGGCTGCATTATTGCTGAATTACAACAGTTTGGCGAGAAGAATTTGTTCAAGGATATCCTTGTTTTTATGAGATACAAGCAGGATTATAAAGAACTGGAAGATTTGTGTCCCTTCAAAGATTTAATGCCAGGTACCGGGAAGTACTACTAAATACATCATCGGAAATGGGGTTCTAATCTAGTGTGTCCCAGCTGTTCTTTCAACGACTAAATAGATAAATAAAATCTGTTGAGTCAGAAATGGAATTATATTGCATATTTGATCACTCGATTGTTACAAAGTCTCAAAATGAGAATCTTTTTTCAAAAGTACATTTTATGTTTGTTTAAGTTTGCTTAATTTCGAATAATCCTACAGGATGTAATGTTTCTTCTTTCCCCTAATGCACATTTGTTCTGATAGAAGTCGTAATTATTTTTATTTCTGCTTGATTTTAACAACGAAACACTTAGATGTTGGTTAAATCAGTTAATCTATTTGCTAATGTATTAGCGTTTGCAGGAATTAGTAATTAGCAGTTGCAGAAGTTGCAATTAGCAGTTGCAGAATTAGTAATTAGCAGTTGCAGAATTAGTAATTAGCAGTTGCAGCCGTCTCTTCTCAGAAATAGTCCTAATATGCTTTGAAGTAAACCAAATTCAATTTTAGGCAATAAATCTTGTTAAATGCTACAGATTTTGTAGTTTTTGAAGAAGCAGAAAAGTCCTTAAGGATATCTGTTTGAGAACTGTAGTTCTGGCTCATCATTGCTGAATTACAGCAGTTTGGCGAGCAGAATTTTATCAAGGACATACTTGTTTTCATGAGGTACAAATAGGATTATAAAGGACTAGAGGATTTGGGTTCCTTCAAAGATTTAATGCCAAGTACCAGGGCGTACTACTAAATACATCACCCGATATGGGGATCTAATCTAGCGGGTCCCTGTTGTACTTTCAGTGACTAAATAAATAAATAAAATCTGTTGAGTCAGTAATGGAATTATATTGTATATTTGATCACTGGATTGATACAAACTCTCAAAATGAGAATTTTTATTCAGAACTACTTTTTGTGTTTGTTGAGTTTTGTTTCATTTCGAATATTTCAATAGGATGTAATACTTTTTCTTTATACTTATGTATATTTGTTCTAAGAGAGGTACACATTATATATATTTTTACTTGATTTTAACATGGAAAAAGTTAGAAATTGGTTAAATCATTTAATCTAGTTACGAACGCACTAAGATATAGGAATTAGTAATTAGCAAGTGGAAGAAAATAATGTTATTATAAGCACAAATAAGTGTTGAATATCAAGACATTACTGTTAGAATCGAAAGAGAACGTATCAAAAATAAGAAAGAAAAAGAAAAATGTCTTAAATTGTTTAAAAAAGAAACAAGTTAAGTACATGTTATTATGGTAATTTTACTACCAATTTTAAAGTTCAGATCAGTTTTTATTTCTTTCAAAAAATAAATATGAGATTATATTTGGAATTTTATTTTTAGTGCTGCAGTTTTTTTTCCAAGCAATTTATTTTTTCCTTTTTTACAAATTATTAAAATGGAAATAATTAGTTTGACACAGTTTGACTGCAAATCATAATTCTGTTTTTTAAATATTATATCTCTAACTTGCTTAATTTACAAGTTTACTGTCTTTCCTATTAAATTCAGTATAAATGCTGCAGAAAAAAAGGCTATTCTTGGTGCATTGCATTTCCCATGGTTTGGAAGTCATGCTGTAAAAAAGCACAGATATCTATATTTTAGTTCACTCTCCCATCCACTCTTTGATCACTTCTGTTCCATCCATTACTTTTTCTGCAACTTCTCTTAATCTCTTCTGCTGTTCAGTCGACAGCATTTTTTTTCCATCACCAACAATTCCTTTTCTAAAAAAGGCAACTGTCTTCAAACCTTCACCTTCATCTTTTTTTTGCGGATGAGTTAAGGTTAAGTTTTTTTTCATGTAGTCAAAACTAGTATGCTCAATTACTTTACGTATTACTGATTCATCCTCCAGAAGTCGCTGAAAGTAATTCTCACCAAGAAACTTCGCTATTCTTAAAATTTCTTCTTTCCTGTTTTTGTGTAATTTTTCATAGGATATAAGTAGCAAGTTTTCATCATCTTTATGCTCTAGGAAGGAGAGGATATGCTCAAAATAACGTCCGTATCCTATATTTCCGGTAAGGAACTGCTCAAAAAAATCACTGAAATTCTTTTCTTCTTCCTGCATATTTTGCATAAAATGGAAAAAAGATACCACAGTATCCTCAGGGTTTCGATAAATATAGAGACATTTGGATTTCGGATTTTTTTGCACCATATTGTAGGGAATGTGGTGTTTATATACTCTAGGGTTTCTTAAGGCTTCTACGGCTGCAATTCCAGTCATTTCCATAAATGGAACTACATGGTATGTGACGTCATCAAAGCTGGGGAATAAATCACCTTTTGAAAGTATTTGCAGGACGATGTATTGGAGCCATGTAGTTCCTGTTTTAGGATAAGAAGCAATGATGATGTCTCCATCCTGAGGCATGTAGTCTAATGCATCTTCAATGTTTTTTTTGTTAAACCATTTGACTGCTGGAAAAGGCAGACCTCTCACTATCTGCAACTCATAATTCTTGCTTCCACCTTCTTCAGACATTTTGTGGTAATGGTACCCTGTAATAACATATTTATTAGTTTAGGTTTGCAAAATTATTTAATATAAACACTACGCTTAAAATATATGTTGAATTCTGTAGCATATATGTGCTAACGTTTGTACTTCTTTCGATGAGTTTACTTGAACGTGTTGAAAGTTGACTCTGAAGTGTAAAGAGTTAAATGATTTATTAAGCTTCCTAAATGATGGACTAATTTAATTTACTGGTTAGAAATATATTATTGAATCATGCAATTAAGTTTCCGTCTTACCAACAGACAGTTCAAATAGTATCTTGTTACATAACGACACTTCTTAATGTTCCCGAAGTTGGCACATTATGGGGGAAAAATATCTCATGTAGACACCACATGACTTCCCTGTATGGCCTATTAAATTACGCACATTTTTTGCTGCATTTCATTTAAAATTATTTCCTCCAATTGCATTAGAGATATATTTCTTATTCAATCACTTCAGTTTTGACTTCGCGGGAGGAAAAAGTACATAAAAGCTCAAAACATCTTCATTAAAAATTTTAAAATACAGAAAAACCTAAAACATCAAATAGAGTTAAAAACCGTTAAAAAACAATTTTTATTGTTACAATTATAGTTTAAATTAATTAAAATAAGGCAGAAAGACAGATTTTTCAGGTGCACAAAACTGAAAGTTTACTTTTGGTCCCATTCGGCAAAAAGAATCTGAAGTTGGTGCAGAAACAGACTTAATTCACTATTCTGCTCAGTTTCAGATGTAAATAAATGGCGGCTTCATTAGGCTTAGTGGAATTTAAACAGCTTTTAAATTGTTGATAATTTTACAACTATCGCATGCAGATTAACTAAAGGCATGAAAACCTTAACCAGAACATGAGAATAATATCATGCAGTTACCTTTAAACAAAATAATGCAATAATTTTTATTATTAACATTTTATGCGTTAATTTCATTTATTAAATATCATTCACACTTTACGCCAGATAAACTTCAATTACAAACAAGTCACAAACTATTTAAAAACAGCTAAAAACAACATACCTTCAGAATTTCTGATAGAGCTTGTCAGGATTATGTTAATTTTATTAGAAGTTAAATTTTGAGTTAAATTTTCTTTCCTATCGATTCTTAACTTCAAACTTGCCACTTCCGGTCAGAACGTAGTTTTAGAATCACGTTTGAATACATAATGAGGAAGAGCGGTATTTAACCGCGAGGTTCTTCGGTCTTAGCGTGAGATACCAGATATTCTGGCTGCACGCGTCCGCCTTTTTAGGCAACTCTCTCTTAAGCTATTATCATACTCGGCCGTACTTTAGGCCCTTGATAGCTTCGCAGTCTATTAACGTTAAGGGGCTAACTCTGCTAGAATCTTGATAGTTCGGCTATATCTCTTTAGTTAAGATAAATTTAGTTTAATTCTTAGTCTCTTAAGTTCAAGCCCGAGTGTCGGCTTTATTGTAAACTCCAAAACGGAGTTTTGTTAAACTTTAGTTGGAATAATAAAGGATTAGTTTACCCTTCTATCTTGTTGTTTCCCGTCACACGAACTCAAGCGATTATTCGCTTATCAGTTCTTAAGATTCTTCACTTCCAACAGTAACTTAGAATTGCAAAGTGAGGAACTTTACAAGCGTTAGAGGTTGCCATACATATTTTTGTATTTGCTATATTATTTCTTTAAAAACTAGCCATCTAAAATAGTTATCACAAAAAAAAATGTATATAATGATTTTAATCCGTCCAGCTAGTGTAATTAAAAAATATTGATTAGTTCTAATTAGATATCTCATGATTTTCATACATGTTTATTTAAATCATTCACGTTAAAAAGTAGAAAATAATATTTCTGAGACCTCCATTTCTTGCTTTTAAATCGCTTAGTTTATCATTCAATAGCTTCCAGATTAAGTTTGAAAATACTTTAGGCTTTAATGAATGGCAACAGCTTGACGCATGGGAGGTAAAAGTATTTTATTTCCGGCCGCGGCAACACGTTGGTTTCGTCGAACCGAGTATGTTAAATAATACGTATAAAATCTGAAAGATGTGAAATATCTTGCAGTTTTCGGAACGGCAACAGTCTCGCGCGGTGGAGAAAAATGTTTTATTTCGAACAGTGTTGCCACAGCTCGTTTTCGAATCGTTGAGTTTTTCATCCAAAATTCATTAAAGTTTTGCAAACAATGAAGTAAATAATACATAAAATTCGAAATTCAAAAATTTGGTCTTCTAGGTGTACATGTTCAGATGGAAGACTCCGTTATACAAAATTTAATGGCTATCATCGTTTTTTCACGATACGAGGAACATACATACATGCAGATTCTTCATTATTTAATCTCTTTAAAAATAATGTAGGGCGATAATATTTAGTGGAAACAATTTGAAAAGTGATACGCCGTTTATATTGAATCAAAGCAAAATCTCTTTTCGAGACCAATAGCAACTTTTGGGCTAATTAAATGATTACTAATAGATTTTTGATTCTTTTTTCTTTTTCGTTTTTCTCACCAGAATGCAAATGAGTAGTTAGTAGCTAAACTAAGGTTTCTGAATCTGGCATCGCGTGCTCACTACGGTTGTTAGTTTCCTACCAACTCTCATGGTTGTAATTATTCGGCTTTACGTTCTCTCGCTGTCGACACTTTGATTCTGACGCGCCTGTAAAATAGTGAGCCAGCTTCTAGTAATATTTAGTTATGTAGGCCTTGACTACTGCTCAACGTTTAAATTGACTGTTCTCTTTAGTTACATTACCACGAGTTGTGGTTTATATTGTAGCACTAGATGAGTACCATTTTGATCTAAATTCTGGTTAAATAAAAAGGTTATTTTTAACCTTATTAAAACGTTTTAGTTATTTGAGACATAGCAATAATTCGCTTCACGTTTGTTAGAACTATTCTATTGAGCATAATAAATTTTGTTTCGTATGCATAAATTATCCTAATCATTTCAATTATGATCTTGTTCTTTTATTGCATTTCTAAATTTAAATCACTTAATTTCGATGCAAAATCTTTAAGAAATGCTACATCACTGAACCAAATCCCATATCTTAAATCTGCACACATTTTAATCTTGCTGTTCTAGATTTTTTTTTTTTTTTTTTTTTTAATCTTAGCAAAGAAATCGCGAAATCGGTGCAGAAATTTATTTCTATTTAGCCATCTTTTAACGGTATGTAATAATAACAATTTTGGCTGTCTTTCAAGCTGCAACTGGAAGAGAAGTTGTCTTTCTTCGAATGGAATTCAGGATTTTGATTGCTATGTTTATTATTTTGCTGTTACTGAAAACTAATTTCAAAAAGGGTAGTTTCAAATTAGCGAGGATGCTTTTTGTTATATTTTCGCTTATTTTCTCAATCCGCCTCATCATAGTATTCCAAGATGAGTGCAGATCTTTAATTGCAGCTATAATTTTACTCTTCTTAAAACCATTAGAAAGTGAATCAGAAATTTCCAAGGGCGTTTCTTTCATGAATTCCTCGTCAGAAAAATCGTTTACATTTTTTATATAGCTTACTTTGAATGATGTAATTGTCACTGCACGCGATTTCAGCATGGCTTTTTAAAAATATGTTGTTGAGTTCTTAATTGACCGCCATTTTTATGGATAATGTATTTCATATTTGTTACGTAGAGTTAAAAAATGCCTTTCCAAATTACCCTTTTTAGTAATGGCTACAGAGGCATTAAGTAACAACATTTATCACTTATAAAAAAATAAAATTCCCATTTTTTCATGAAAATGATGTTGTTGTTGTCTGGTTTATGTATTTTATGGAAGAATGGTTGTCAGAGTTTCAAGTCGGTTGGACATGAGAGACACCACCCTGGGGGTGGTCCGAGGGGGCCTTCCGGTGAAGGCCATCGGAAGAAACAGGTACGTTTTCTGAAAGACAGTTTGCTCTTCAGAATTTAATGTCTTAAAATATTGTGAAAGGTTATTCTGTTTCTTTACCAATGCATAGTATTACTCAGAGCAATAGCAATGAATTCGGTCTTGGTTAGAGCAAGTACTAAATTAGCGAAAGAACTCTTCTTTCTAACTGATAATCGCTCTATACGTAATAAAAATTGTATATTGCTCTATACGTAAATGAATTAAATAGATTTTTAACCTTGTACAGACATTAGCATTTTTTGGAAGCAGAAGAGATGAAAAATTAGCAACGCCTTCGCCGGAAATCGAACCACGGACCTCTGGAATACCGGCCCAGCGTGCAGAACTTTAACAAGAAGCCCGCTAGGAGGCGGGAGAAATACCTATATATAGCGTGCTAAAATCAGCGTACAGGGTTAGCTTGGTTGTTCAATCTAATAGATGCATTTTTTTTTTTTAGTCCAAAGGGATTTGAATCCCGAAGGACTATTAGTTTCGTTTTGCATTTTGCGTCGGACATAAATGTCGGTTCACTTTTCAAACTGTTGCCATAAAATGTTAGAGTCCCTGCATTTGAAGAAATTAAATAATGAAAAATCTGCGTAAATGTATGTATATTTCTCGCATTGTCATAAAATAACGGTACATAGAGTCATCGAATTTTGAATAACGTAATCCTCCAACGAATATGAGCATGTGGAAGACCAAATTTGAAATTTGAAATTTGTTTTTATGATCGATTTCCTATTTTTTAAAACTTTGACGAATTTTTGATTAAACAAACTCAAGGATTTCAAAGCGAGCAATGGCAACGTTGTGCAGAAAAAACATTTTTATCTCCAGCGCGTGAGTCTCTGTATCGGAAATTCTAAAGATATGCTCGTTTTAAAACTATTTTGCGATATTTGCTGTTGCACTGGATCTTATGGTTTAAGTGCGAGGAAACATGATATTTAATAAAAAAAAGGTAACACAAAATGTTAAAAAAAAACGCCCCTTTGGACGTAATTTAAATCTGAAACATTTCGATTTTTTTTTCCTTTATTATCTTTTTTTCTTTCTTTTTTTTCTTTTTTTTTTTTTAATATTAGTTAAATGACATTGACTCACATTCCTTGTAAAGAGTAA